CGCCCAATGATCTTTGTGCTACCTTAAATGCAATGTGAAACTCCGCTGGAGTTTGTATCAAAAATCCTAGATTCATCGGTTATATTGCTTTTAGCCTCAAGCTCGTACGCTTTGAGTCTTTTGAGTGTAACACTCATAAGATTCAGCCATTATGTTAAGGACTGAGTGGCATTATACTTTATTTAGGTATTTTCACCAGATGTTCCCTTCCTACTTCGTCATTTATGTTGACCGATTCTTTATATTATATATAATGGCTGAGTGACTTAGGTCTCAAAACAACAGCAGTTCGTTCTTGATTTATTCCACGGCCGTCTAAGGGCCTGTCTGCACGGATTTTTCATATACTTTTCCTTATTAACTCAAACGTACAGCTAATTTCCATTCAAAAGTTCTTCACTAAACCCTTTTGACCTTAAAAATGTGGTCTTCGAAGGCGTTGCCTGATTAATTGACCGGCGTTCTCTCCCTTGGCTATGGTCTTCTTCCCCTAATTTAATAATTCCAAAGACTCAGTTAATCGGCTTTCCCTAGTGTGCAATTTCAGCATACCCTAGCAACAAGCAACAAGCATCATAACTCCATAGAAGAATAATTTCACGTTCAAAATGACAATAATGTAAAGATCATGCAATAATATTTAGCATAAGCCAATTGAGAGAATTTTTGTTTGAAGTACGTCAGTTATTTTCTGAAATAGCATTACCATAACCCTCTTTTGGCTTCAATTCATGCTGCAACATTATTCTTAATTCAAACTGATGGTCATCCAAAATGCAGCACCATAAAAGAAGCATTCAAACAGCATGAAACTTGCATCATATGTACATTGAGCGCCGCCTGAGGATAACCACTGACCTGACTTTGTTGTAAAATTCTTACAGTGTTAATAGTCATCCTGGCAGAAGGGAATATTTCTTCCGTGTAAAAATATAAATATAAATATTACATAGGCATATAAGGCCTGTATATAAGCATAGATATGTTAATTACAAACATTATCTTGTGCAAGTTACATGTGATAGTTACATAAAATCCTGACAGTTATGTGTACATTTAAACATTATATGAATTCATATTTAGAATACTTTTACTGAGATAATCAAAGTAAACTTGTAATTCATTTACACATTGACTGGATTTTCAATGTCATTTTAAACTGCTTTACAATATTATTTTTATCAAGTACATACAAACTGGATAGTAATATGCTTACATTACAATAGTTTTGCTCTTACAGTCCCGTTAGCGTAATGGCAGACCGCACATTGAGTTGAACAGTGTTAAACGAATGTCGCATACTGCGCATGCCCAGAAACAAATTTGGCGTAATTATTATGTTGGCGCGATTTGAAAAGAAGATAAATACGGTATGTGGTAGATGTACCGCCATCTGATTGTGAACACATCCGGCGTTTAAGGTTTCATAGAGTATGCGTGCAATGTAAAGTAATTACCGTGTAAAATTAGATTTTTTTCCTGTATTGCTCCAACAACTGGAAAGTTGAAATTATTGCGAAGTATGTGAAGCATGTTTTACATTCAAAATGTAAAATATAATACTTATGAAATTCTGCACATTCCTTTGGAACTGTACAAATTTTCGTTCAGAAAAGACTGTAATTAGGATATATTAGTTGAAAATTTATTCATTAGCTTTTGAGCAATAAAACCAATTCAGGATTACCATACGTTCCATTCGTACATACATAAAGAAACACTGAGGAAATAACAAGTGCTTGCAAATAACACTGAAGAAATTTTACAATCTTTAATGCTAGTTATTAAATTCTTTAAATGAGAAAATAAAAGCGCGAATATACGCTAACAAACTAAGCGAGATACTCCAGTTTACAATTACTGAATTATAACATGTAAACAAATTACATTTAAATAACGAATTATTACGAACATATGTTAACAAATATTAAATGCACTGTTATTGACAAATTAAAATGAAACATATATTAGAAAAATAAGCAAGTGCAATCGGCATGGACATTAAAATAACTAATAAGCAAAGTTCCACAACATTGCAATTTTAAACATCACTCGAACACACTCGACAGCCATGGAGATCACGAATAAGCTAACGTAGGGTTGCTTAGTCGCCAATATTTCTCCCGCGCCAAAGGTACACCATCAAGCATGCGCAGTAAGCGAAATTCGCTTAACACTGTTCAACTCAATGTGCGGTCTGCCATTACGCGTCCCGTTACTATTTTATGGGGTGAGCTATTTTTCTAGTGTTGATTTTCAGTTGTTGTAGTATTTTGAATTGCTATTAAAGAAAGAAGAAACAATTCTCAAGAGAGGGGGAGAATAATGTGATGGAATATACAAATAATTACGATTTCAGAACCCGCGCACATTATGCTCGACTATAGCGCTCCTTACAATTCGTGTATAAAGGGAGGAAAGATCGCCGTTTTGTACAACTTGAATTGATCTGTCGTGAGTTTTTTTGTGAGTTCGCAACTTCAGTATGCCTCATAGAAAAACCAGTACGTACGTTTTTGAGTTAGATCGAGATAGAATCGTTGCATACAGAAATTTCAGATATTTCCGAGAAATCAGTCATGGTGTTGGACGTAGCCAAGCGACAGTCATGATAATCTGGAAGGAGTGAACGTAGGAAAGAATAACTCATAGATAGGATCAATTAAGAACCACCTCGTCACACCAAAGCATGGGAAGATAGGCATATTGTTCGCATGGCATATATAGAACTTACTGCCGCACCTGAAACTGTATCACAATGAACGCAGGCTGCAAAACAACAGTCGGTGCATGCACAAACAGCTCGGCATCGTTGACAGTACAATGGACTGTCGGCTAAGCGTCCATTGCTTATCTTTCCTTTAAACAACAGGCGTTTGTGCTTGCAATGTTACCCTGAACGGTGGAGGTGGAAATCCGAATGACATGGCATTGTGTTTTCGGACAAATCATGTTTCTGGCTGCAGTGCCACGGTGGTCGGATCAGAGATTGGAGACACTATGGGGAGAGGTTGCTCGACTGTTGTATTATGCATCATCATACTGGTCCTGAATCCGTTGTTATGGTGTGGGGTGGTATTGGATTCCACTCCTGCATACCTCTAGTACGCATTATAGGTACAAGTACTGCCGACGGTGTATCTGTAAGGTTTTTCAGCCTGTCCTCCTTCTTCCTTACCAGGGCTTGTCGGCGGCCACATTTAAACAGGCCAAAGCACGACAGTCCTTTGCACGCAATATTCAAACTTTCTTCCTAGACCACCATATTGCAGTGTTATCCTGGACTGCCTGATTTCCAGATCTTTAGCCCATCGAACATATCTGGTCAATGATTGGAGAACGCCTAGCCTGGCACGGCTCCCTAACGTGTACGCCAGATGAACTTTGGCTACTTGAGAAGCCAGTATGGGCTGCCATTGTCCAGCAACACATCTGAAGCTTATTACCTTCAATGCCGCGGCGTATAGCACCGGCTACTGACAAATCTAGAGGTAACATTCATTACTGATAATCGCATCTCAAAAGAGGCTGCATTTCGAATAAATTAACATTGATCTATGTGTAATCTCTGAAACAAATTTGAATTTGATAGCCTTTCTTCTCCTTCCTATTGTATTTTGAATGTCCACCAGTGTATGTGGGCTAACACTTTATTCAACACCGTGTTTTCTTCATGTAAAGTAAAACAGTTGAGCGTTTATACCTGTGCAAAATTCATTTATTTATTTATTTTGTACTAAAAGTATGGAGACTAGAAACGACAGAGACTAGAAACGACAGAGAATTCTATGCTACTCGCTGAATTACTTAGCGTTTTGAAGGTGACTACTGAAAAAAAGGAGAAAATCAACTTTCCTTCATTTTGCTGCTTTACTTCTGGAAATATTTGACAGGAAATTGCAAAAACCGGAAACGATAATTCTGAAGAAAACAGTTTTTCCTTAAAATTTTATTTTTGAGCTTTGATACTCGCATTTTATAATTTACAATAATCAAATTATCCGTTTTTGCTCTTTGCAGTTCACGGTGTCCACTGATAACTGAAAAATACAGATATAAAGAGGAAGAAGTAAATTTAATAGAGTTTATTATAGAAATCATTACTGAAAATTCTGTTAAAATACTAAATTTGCAGACATTCTTTAAAAGAATGTGGAGAAGAAGGATCAAATTAATAGAGTTTGTAAAAGAAATGAACACTAAAATTCAATTCAAACTTTTATATATGTCCCGGCGTTCAATATAACAAATATGGAGATGAAGTGAAAGAATTAAAGTATTGTTGTTTGTGTACGGGTTCGTAATAGATTGAATGCACAATTCCGATAATAGGTTAATAAAATTTATTCTTATCAAAAGAAATTTATCAGAACTTTGGAATTTTCCGCAGAAATATTCGTACAAGTGTTTGCAATATCACGCAGTAATGACAGTAGTACAGTAGTTATACTTCAAACTACTAAAAACATTAAACAGAACGCAATGCACAGTGCATTTAAAGTGAATAAAGTAAAAAGTACGATTTATCTGAATCCACGCGAAATTACAACTCGCAACAACAATAACTAAGTAACTAACTAAAACTCTTTTTCTCCTGCCTTTTATAGTTTTCAACCAGTGCGAGAAATTTCCAGTACTTTATGCTGCTCTAAATTCTGGAAAGCAATAAGAGGATGGAATTACAGTTACGGCTGACATACATCAAATACATTTATTCAATTTCAATACAAATTACGGAGATACCCATTTGTCTTATGTCAAATTCACGTGCTCCTGTCTTTTTACTTTATTGACATAGCTTTCTCTTAAAATTAGTCTCGTGCTGCATTGAAAATGGAAATAAAGCAATTTAAATTATAATTCTACTAAAATTAGATATCTAATTACAAAAACATATACAATTTATAAAAGAAATCAATACTGAAAATTAATTTCAAATGCTTCTGTATTTACGCGTTTGAGATAATCAAGCATCACGAGATGCTTTTAATTTTACATACCTCCTTGGGGGAAAAATTGGGCAAAAATGTCTTTAAAATTTTCTTCTGTCACTACCCCTGTGGGACACTCCTGAAAAAAGAAAACAAAATAAATATAAAAAATCACCCATAAATCATTAAATATAGAATGGGTTCTGAAACAGATTAATTGCTTTTTTAATTTAAAATCACTTTTTAAAATCTCGAAACAAAACATTCTTAATTCGATAATCTAAGGAAATTGTAAACAATATAGAAATTGTATTTTACGCAATAAGAAACGTGAATTTTAGTAATTTAGAACATTAGAGTTAAATGTTTGTTCAAACTAAAAAAAAAGCAAGCTTAGATTGGCGTGGAAATTGAAATGAACATCGGGGATAGTCTGAGGTTGCTTTGTACCTAATTATCATTTTATTCAAAATTCGACAAAAAGAAAATCTGGATTGGCTTAGATGTTTAAATGAAAAATCTGGATCGATATAGGGTTGCTTTTGGTCTAGTTTTAAACATCACATTAACATGGTTCCCTTCCAAATAGACGAGCCATTCGTCGGTCACTTAATTGGAGAATGTTTTTCGTAAAAGCAAGTCAACTAATCATATGTTTTATGAATTGGTTTTAAAATGACGTAAGTTAATATAAATGATGTATATTTAAAAATCCTATTCAAATTATGGCACATGTAAGAAATTGTTCAATGTAGATTAAAGGCAGAACAATATTAGCTCATCAACATGCGCATACATGTATCTGAGTCCTGTGGCTTTTCCGCAAAAAATGCAATTCTATGGAAGTTGTTTTCTCTTCGCAACTTCAAAGCTGATCGCAAACTACACTAACCAACATTAAAAATGCAACACCAAGAAGGAATGGCCAGAAAGTGATGAAATTCGACAAACAGAAAGAAACAGCAACGAACAATAAGCGACCTTTATTTCGAACTGATATGTATAATACAGAGCGAGGACAGCGTCGGCTCAGTAACCTGTAGGACCATCTCGGACGGCGATACACAAAACAACACATCTAGGTATCCGTAGTCAATGAGATTACGGATAGCGTCAGAAGGAATGGCTTTCCTGAAAACGGCAATGGCGGGGTGAGCAAATGACGCCCAATCGCATTCCAAATGTGTTCAATTGGTGAGAGATCAGGACAGAATGGTGGCCAGGGAAGCATCTATGCATCTTGCAGATTACGCTAACTGATGAAAGCAGGGCGGGCTCGCACGTTATCCTGCTGAAGAAAGTCATTGGGCACTCCCTGAGTGTAGGAGAGTGTCACCGGCCTCAGCACATCATCCACGTATCGTTGTGCCCTGAATGCGAACTAAAGGTGACCTGCAATTGTATGCAATTGCGCGCTAAGCAATGATGCTGCGTTGTCGCGCGGTGGGGAGTTCCAGAATTGCTGTCGGATTGGACCTGTCTCCACATCGACGCCACACTCATACGAGGCGACTATCATTGGAGAAACAGAAGCGTCACCCATTTGAGAACATGACCCTGTGCCATTTCGTCGTCCAAATCGCCTGAGTCCGACACCATTGCAGACGTTGGCGGCTATGATGTGGGGTCAATGGCAGTCTTCCAAACGGTCCCCAAGATTGCAGGCCAGTAATCTTCAATCGACGGCAAATGGTTTTGGTCGATATGGTAACATCTAAGCATGTCTTGAACATGCAGTAGAATGGAGGTATAAGTGGCTTGTGGGTACCCCACCGCTTCTCGCCTCCTCGCCTGCTGATGTCACTTTGGCTGCAACAGCATCCCTAGACCTTTCGGACCACACTTCGTCGACACAGCCGGTGGCAACTCTGTGGCCACATTTCGTCGTCACAGGCGGTGTACTGTGGAAGCATCTAGGTGTATGTCAGCAATTTGCATTACGGAGCAACCTGCCCTTCACAGTCCAAACGCCATGCCCCTCGTAAAATTGTCTGTCTGTTGGAATTGCCTCCGTTGAAGATCGCCAGACATTCTTTGCAATTAAATGCGTCGTCTGAGACAAAAACACATTTTCTACGATGATTTCTGTAGCGGAAATAACGACACGAAATTTGAACATTCTTTAGGTTCATTCCCTTATACCTTCTTCAACATTCCCTGGAGAGCTTAGCATTTCACATCATTATCATAACTCGATGACGTGCGTCTACCATGAAATTTGCATAATTTTCGGGCCACTCGTTCTTCGTGTTGCATTTTCAATGTCAGGTAGTGTAAATATTATAGCACAAGGGCAGATTTCGGTTGGTAAGTTAAAAGTTTGAATCTCTCTTGTCCTCTTGAAATTTTAAGAAGTCTGTATTTTCTGTTAGAAACATATTAAATATTTTGATTTTATAACGATTTTGAAAAAAGCTTGTGGTTCAGCGAAATACATCTAATTATAGTATTTTGTGCTGCACAATTTTAATTTAACTCTCGAAATTGGTCAGAAAGAATGAACTAATGTAAACATATTTATATGCTTGTTTGTTGAGAAATTCTAGTAGAATCCATGTAATAAATGAGCCAGCTAAATTTATTTGAATTCAAGAGAGATGTTTCAAAATTATGGGATTAATTTTGCGAGAAAGAATAGCAGTTTGTTTTAAAGGATTCATAACTAATTCAACTCTTATAACTACAATATGTTATTTTAATATATTTATTTTGTTGTTAGGGAGTTGTTAACTAGCAAAATGTAGATTATTAAATTCATTTCATCAAGGATCTCATCTAATTCAACAATAAAAATTTCTCTGCTGCTACTGTAATTAAATTACTTAAATATATTCAAGCTATTGCGTATTTCCTTAATAAAATTTTAGAAGAGGTATTTTAATAGAAAACGCTTATTATTATTGCTAATGCAAGAAGAGAGAATATGAAAATGTAGTTTAATTTGTCAGAATAGGATAACATCGTTACGCCTAAGAGTCTGCTGTATATAACATATTTATAAGTGAATGAAACATTCATTAAATTGCCACATTCACGTTGCAGAGTAATTAGTTATCATTAAAGAATAGACAAAATACGTAATGAATACATCCGTATTCAAAAATGTCATAATAAAATAAAAACTGTCTTATAAGAACATCGATATGTTACAGAGATCTTTAAATTAGAAGCATAAAGTTCAGCTTATGATAATGCATTAATTTTAAATTAGAAGCATACAGTTCAGCTTATGATAATGCATTAATTGCAGTTCATAAAAAACATGTATCTGACAACTGAAATTAGAATAATGCGAGATTGTCTTAAGTACAAATTGAAAAAAAAGTAAATAAACTTAATAATTAAAAAATGGATAAATTTCGAGAAGATTAAGTAACTTTTTTTTCTTGTAAGACGAACTCGTAATCCAAAGTATTTTCATTAAGCTAAAGTTTATTTCATTTCATTATCTCTTTTACTTATCTCTGTATTCTAGTCAAATTACGCAGTAATGATTAGTAAAAATTTAATACCTGGAGTAATGTATTTTAGACTGCGTCTTTAATTTAAAATTTATTAAGACGTTCATTAATTTTTTACATGAAAATTGCTATTTAGAGGATACATTTTAAACAGTTTAAATTAACTGTCAGTGTTTCATTGGTTATTAGAATAGAAATTAAAACCTACTTCTCGTCTAAGAACTTTGTAAAAAGAATAAATACAACACTTTTATGTATGTAGAGGTTCCTACCGGAAGAAGATTTTTGGAATTTTTAGTTACCAAGAAGCAAAGCCTACGGAAGCCTACAAGCTTGTGAAAAAAGATGGCTTCACGAAGAAAATTCAAAGGGAAAATTGCTCGGCATTTAAATTAAACCCGGTGTGACCCATCATAGTTTAGCGGTATCAGCTGCAAAACTAATGCTGGGCTTAACGGAGGAGACTAAATTTAAAAAGATAAAAGCTTTGACAGATTTAATTTAAGCTTTAATGCTGGATGAAAAACAATTCTCACATAGAAAGAGCTACAGAGCGCCTGATGCAATATTGCTATCCTGGTGGTGCTATCATGTCTGAATGAGAATTATTCAGATTAATGGGAGTTAAAGAACAATAGAGCGGATCCTTCATTTGACACAGTGTCTTTCAGCGTCTTCTAATGAGGCCAACGTAAGCATGTAGTTAATAGTTCACTCTCTAAGAAGCAAATCTTAATTATCTAGAGAAAAAGTTTTCTCAGCAGGAAGAGAAATGAAAAGCTTTGTTGAAAGTTATAGTTGAGAACTGAGTTAAGAGTTGTTCTTGAAGTACTGAATAATAATGTAATTGTCCTTGAAAAGACAAAACACGCAATAAGATTTGAAAGAAATAAACTCTAAATTTTTAGCAACGGAATAAATTTTAAAATTGTTAAAACATTTATATTATAGCGCTGCCATTTCCAGAGCTACCCACATAATTGTTAACTCCAAATGTAAAGTGTGTATGCATTTTATATATGTTTGACATCTACATATGATGTATGGATGACGTATTGCTATTTTTGCATAATTAGGCGTCTTATTTCGTATGCCATTATTTCTCTTTTGTTTCTGGATACTGGATGAATTTGCATTTTAGCATTAAAACATTTAGAAAAGTGCTGTCTTTTTCACACTCATAGTCTGTCGGGAACTGCTCAATTAGTGTGTAATTTAACAAGTGATAAGTGACGGGGGGCGTGGGCACTGTCCCTTTGTCCATAGTGGTTAATCAGTACAGTACCATGCCCACCATTATTTAGAGAACAGCATTAACATATGTAACTAGTATTACAAATAACGCATGGTACGATGTACATAGCAGGAGTAATTACATCTAGAAGAATAGGATATAAGCTATATAACATATGTAATATTTACAGATTATTGTACATCCACACTATCTTTACAAGTGTTGCTTTACCTGAGGTACATATACATACGCATACTAAAAATGCGTGCACATATTATGTGACATATAAGATAAAAATAGTACACTAGTTTAATATAGAAATGCGGGTTGTAATACATAGAACAAAGCGCAGTAATGGAATGTACAGTCATACGTATAAGACATGCGATACAGTCAACTGCTAATAAATAACTTGCAAATTACTATATGGTGCAACTACTATAT